TTCATTACAGCGATGATCACTACTCGCAGTGCTAGCGATTCTCATGAGAAAGGATTTTCATTGGTCTTGAAGTCTACAAACCAGCGAAAAGTTCAGAGGCAATACTTCCTCCTTTCCCACTGGTTTCCGCTAGTTCATCACTTAATCTCCTTCTTTTGTTCTTACAAACTCTCTCGTACAGCACGCATACCTCCTTTACAAGTTGCAATCTCCCATGCTAACAACAAACCCTCACCGCTTATTCCTTTAGTCCTTCAGTAATGACAGGTCCCCATTCTCACAAAGTTGTCTCTCCTTCTCTTCTCGCTAGCACGCCCTTCCCCTAGAAGCTTTCGAACAGTCTCTCTTTAAGTCCCTTCCGAGTGTGCCCTTTATAGCGAGCGGATGCAGGTAAACAAGTCCGCAATGAGGCGGACGAAAACAACGATAATCACCGCAATAATAATAGTAATACTAATAAGTTAATGATAATTCTATTATTATTATATTATCTGGGATTCCTTCCTTCCGGTGGAAAAGCACGGAAGCCCGACCTTCCTTCTCCCCGCTCCATTTTCCCCTTGGTTTCTCACTTACCCCGCAAGCTCGATCCCTTACTTCCCTTTCCACCGGACGGAATCAAACTCGAAAGTGCTTGATTTCACTCATCACTCTCTTTGACTCGTACCCCCCTCTTCTTGTTTCCCCACGAAGGCAATCTCTCTGCGATCTGTCACGCTTCACCAGGAGAAAATGACTACCTTGATCACGAACGGCAGGGGCACACACCGCCGTCACGATTCACTGAGGCAATGGTCGCTATTACATTTCACTGAACTGGTTCAGTCATCAGCGACAATACCGCCATCGCTTTTCATCGATCTGGCTTGATCATCAGCGGCAATGGCCACTATAACTTTTCACTGATCTAGCTTGATCATAAGCGGCAATGGCTGCTGCCACTCTTCACTGAGGGGTTATGACAAATTTACTCATCAGGGCCAATGGTACAGTTGCGCAGCAAGAGCTGATTGCATATCACGCACTTGCGCACTGAGCGCTTCATGCACACAATACTCTCGTGCTGTCCGCCGTCCGAACGTGCGTGTCTCAACCAGTTTCCAGCGACCTGCAGTGGACCGAGCACGCTTGGCACACCCCCCCTCCGAGTAGAGTTGTTCGAATCATTACCAGGAGTAGGTTGTGTACGCCTGGGGCGCGGGATCCTCTGTTTCCCTTCTCTAAATCGTGCGGGTGCTGGAGACGCCTGGCGCGTCTCTCCTGTCCGCGCTTCCTCTCTGTTCCCAACTTCACCAATCAGCCGTTCAAAACCTTGGACGCAATGCTAGAGTGGGCGGCGTACACCAGGCTCGTCAGTCTGCTTCCACCAGTCCGAATATCGCGTGTTGTCTCCCCCTTCTCACTGTCCGAGTCTCGTGGCTCTTCTTCACCTTCACCGTGCTTCCTCATCACTTTCGCCAACCGGGCTGTTCCAATCCTGAACAGAGTGCCGGAGTGGGCTGGGTACACCAGGCGCGCCGTCCGAATGAAATCCCCCTTTTCTGACTTATTTTCCTCTCGTATTGCCTCCTTCCCTCGACCACAGCGCCTGTCCCCAACAAAAACTTGTCCCCTGCTGGTCCCGTCTGCATTGGCTGCAGCTACAACCTTGGGCCAGAAGGAAAAAGATCAGCCCTTCTCGTGGTTGAGAATCGGTCCCATTTTTGGCTCTATATCCGCACGTGTCCGCCTCTCGTAGCGCCTAGGCCCCGAAATAGGAACTAGCACCATTGGTACCAGCGGTACCAGGGCTATAGGCTCAGAGTACGCATTCCCATCAGTGACAGCGTCGTCAAAGTCTGGCTTTAGGCCCGGTAATATCAAGCAACTGACACCCGCCGTTCACGGGTCCAGCAGATGAAGAAAATTGGAGTTCAATGGCCTTTAGTAGGAATGTACTAATTGGGTATCTCTAACAGTCATACCCTGTAATTACCGCAATCAGGCCCGCACATAGTAGTTAGGCCAATTGCTTGGTCAGTCTCCATGTCGCTGGACTGATTAGATTGGTGTCCCGCCGACTCGCGCCGAGCTCATCAATTGTTGCAGTCAAACGATATGAGTTACCAAACCTTCCACCGTAACCAGATAAGCACCATTGGATCAACCACGGTGAGTGGATAATTTGAGTGGTGTCTGTACCGAAACAGTGCCAAATGAGTGAGCCGCAGGAGATCCGAAGCGGACTCGAGTGCCGTACTCGAAAATTTTGATGTCGTCCCAGTTACAGAGCTTAAAAAAAAAGAACAGGCCGCAGTATGTCACCCCAGTACCAAACCTGTGTCAAACCAGTACCGAACCTGAAAGGATCCTCCCCAACAGCAGCAGTCTGTACTGGTCCAATGCCGAATACCGTGTGATGCAGCAAATATCGTGCCATTTCGTACCTGTCCCGAACCAGTGTACCATCCCTGTTCCGAGTCGGCCGCCGTACCATACCACGGTCATCCCAAACCAGCGTCCATACCAATACAATAGAACCGCGCGGCCTGTCTCTTAGTAGCGTCTGTAGCAGCACCAAACCAACCATGTCGCCATAACCCAAAATCGGTACCGCTCACTCAACAAACATCGGGGTCATTCTTTCAGATCAATCAGGCAAAATCAGGCATGGGTTCATAGTTATCAGAACTCACACGGATCAACGGACTCGGGGTAAAATAAATAATTCCCAGCAAAAATTCATCAAGAATAAATTCTGATAAAAATCAATCAAATAATAATTAACCATTTGTTTTCTCTTCGTTTATTATTTTTAATTCCTTTGCGCACTATAATTCTATTATTGGAATTAATGCAATCAGACTTGCTTTCATTCACACTTTACATGCATGCAAACAGTAGCGCAACAAACTGGCGACATGCGCCCACTCAGTACTCAGAGATATGGCAACCCATATACGAGTTCACTTCCAATGGCTATGGCGATATAGCGCCCATACAACTCTCTGTTCGCATACAGTGGATCACCCTGGATATCCCACACGCGTCTCTTTGAACACTCTGTACTCACACACTAAATACTAACTACAGCTATGGCGGCTATGGCCGCCACTACCCTATCGCTATGGCTAAGCTTCGTCTCTCTGCCCTCTTCGTCTTCGGGCTTCACTGCAGACCACCTCGCACAAGTCGCTGTGGCAGCGCTTCCGCATGGCTCACGCAGGAATCAATGAATGGTTGGGCGCTGCCTCTTGATTTATACTTCTGCAGTGCGTTGGTTTGGCCCCTTCCCCAGGCCCGAAGTGCACACAGTCCCATGTGGTACTTGCTTGACTGGACCAGGACTGCCTAGGACTGGGACTGCTGACTCAGCACGGGCAGACTCCACCACTTGCCTCGCCACTTGCCTACTTGCCTTAGCCTAAGTGTGGGACACTCCGAAAGGCCACTACGCAGACCTTCCAAAAGGTCGTGGACTTGGCCTTTCGGTACTGTAGCAACTACGACTTTGACCCTTCTGGAGTGTAGCAGCTACGACCCTGACTCTTCGAGAAGACTACAACTACGATCTCTAGACCTGACTGGGACTTCTATCCGACAGGTCTACAGATCGAACCCGTGCTACCTATGGACCCTACGACAACCTACCAATTGCTACAAATACACAGGTCGCGGGTTCAACTCTACGGGTCGACACAGGTATTGTACATAGGTAAGATGGGGGCTAGGGATCGAGCTCTGGGATCTGCATCAGCTACTGCGAAGGTGAATGCTGTTTCACTCCCGCCGGTCTAAATTCAAGGTCCTCCGAGAATAACTTAGTCCAAGGCAGGACCTTTACCTCTCTGATCTCTGTCATAAGCTCTAACTATATCGGGAGTTGTTTCTAGGAGTTCTGATCTTGTGAACCAGCGGGCATCCTCCGGCTCTTGATAAGCAAACCGGACTTTATACTGTTTATGTGGACGACCTCTACCTCCTGTTCTGAACACATCTTCACCTACAATGCCGTCAATGTCATATCTTCCGTCCATGTCAGGAGGGATCATGGACCGTTTGGATGGGAACTGTTCACTGGTGACACACGGCAGCAACTTTGATGCGTGGAACACAAGGTAGGTGTGGAGGTGTGCTGGAATATTTGTAGTATAGGGCGGTCCATCCTCTCCGCCCTTAACTTCTAGAACTGGCCACGGTCCTCTATACGCGGGCAACAACTTCTGTGAGATGTTCTCCTCAAGTGCAAACTCTTTCGACTTGACCCAGACCGGGTCGCCTACCTGAAACTGCGATGGGTGACGGTGCTTATTAGCCTGTTCTATCATCCGGTGGTGGGCCTTCCTGAGATTCTCAACAACAGTGGTTATCTCTTTCTCATGCTGTATTGCGAACTCCCTGGTACCAAGCGGCAACCTCTGAATCTGATCCCGGTTTAGTCCTTCAAACGACCTGCGCGGTCTAAAGGACTTGTGCAACTCGTTGGGAGTGCGACAGGTGGACAAATGCACGCTGTTATTGTATGCGCTGGCTACCTTGGGTAACATCTCGTCCGAGTTAGTCTGATCGGGTCTAATGTACATGCGCAAAACTTGCTGCAGGATCTTGTTCATCTGTTCAGTCTGGCCGTTAGTCTCTGGATGGCGACGACGACATCAACAACTTGGACCCATAAACTCTCACGAGTTCCTGCCAGTTCTGGCTGGTGAAGCGACTATCTCTATCGCTAACTATAGACAACAGGACTCCATGTTCACTAACCCAAAAGTCGAAAAACTTCTGAATCACTAGCTCGGTACGTGCCTCTGCAGGCAAAGGAACGAAAACAACATACTTACTAAATCTATCGACTACGACCATGACTTGGCTCTTGTCGTGCCTACTCTTGACACCGGCATCCATGAAGTCAATGGAGACAAAATCTCCAGGCTTCTCGGAAATAGGCAAGGGTCTGAGAAGACCTAGAGGGGCACGGGTAGTGGTCTTGTTCCTGTGACAGACTTTACAATTGCGGACATACTCTATGCAGTCGTTCTTCATTCGTGGCCATGTGTACGGGTGCATCAGGTTGGCTAAAGTCTTTTGCCAACCAAGTGTCCCTCTGTATCATGACATTCCCCTAGGATCAGACTGCAGATCTCCTCACTGTTGGGAATGCATAGGCGATGTGCTACATTAGTCTTCTCAAATAATAAACCCTCTGTAGTGCGGTAATCTGGCTTAGTCTCTGGGGCCTCCTTAACCTTCTTGAGGAGGTCACTATAGACAGGGTCCTGTGCATACGCCTGTCTAACTTTCTCTTGCAGGTCGCTCCCTATGTCCAGATAGTGAACAATAGCTCCAAAGTAATTTGATGTCCTACTCAGAGCATCCGCAACTGCATTGTGCTTGCCCTTAAGAGGCTTGAGCTCCAAGTCATACTGGTCTATCTCAGCGGCCCACCTAGTCAACTTAGGTGTCATCTTGGCCTGTGTCTTCAGCCATTTAAGCGTCTCATGGTCTGAATACACTTTGAAGTGCCTCCCAAGCAGGTAATGCTTCCAATGCTCTAGAGCCTGCCTGAGAGCGTATAGTTCTCTCTCGTACGTCGAGGTAGCAACCTTTTGTGAGGGCATTGTCGCTGACATGAACTCTACGGGTCTATAGCCATTGTCGTCGTCTTGCTGTAACACGACGCCTATCCCATACTGACTCGCGACCGTGGTGACGACAAATGGCAAAGACGGATCTTCTACTTTGAGGACATGATACTCTATTAATGCGCGCTTCAACTTCTTTAGCGCAGACGTACAATCTTTATCCCACTGCCAGATTGCCTCTTTCTTGAGCAACCTGCACAAGGGAGCAGCGATGGTAGAGAAGTTCCTCACGAACTTCCTGTAGTAATTGGCTAGGCCTAGAAGCGACCGCAACTCTGTCAATGTGCGGGGCGTCGGCTAGTCTCTAATTCCCGCTATCTTGCTGTCCTCTGGCTTAATGCCATCTTGGTCTAATACGTGGCCGAAGTACAGGACTTGTGTCTTGGCCCACTCGCACTTCTTCGCATTGATCTTGAATTTAGCTTCTCTCAGCTTCTCCAAGACCTGCCTCAAATGACCCTGGTGCTCTTGGAGGGTCGTACTGAATACTAGGATATCATCTAGATATACTATGACGAATCTATCTACCAAGGCCTGAACAGGTCGTTCATACAACGCTGAAACGTAGCCGGCGCGTTGGTCAGTCCAAAGGGCATCACTATGAACTCATAATGTCCATAACGAGTCTGGAACGTAGTCTTGTACTGGTCATCAGGATGGACCTCTATCTAATGGTATCCAGACTTCAAATCTATCTTTGAAAAGTACTTACAACCCTGCACCCGATCTAAGAGATCGTCTATTCTGGGCAGTGGTTCAACATTCTTGATTATAATAGCATTTAGACCCCTATTGTCTATACACATACGCAACTCTCCGTCCTTCTTGGGGACAAACAAAACAGGTGCTCCAAAAGGAGACGAACCCGGCCTAATCCAACCCTTCTCAAGGAGCTCGTCCAACTGCTTGCACAACTCCTGTAACTCTCTAGGGGACATCATGTAGACTGCTCCCTTAGGAGTTCTACTGCCAGGCTCTATCTCTATCCTGTGCTGGATTGGCCGCGACACTACTTCTGTTGGCGGCTCAGACAAGTCTTTAAACTCTTCCAGCAGCTTGGCAATGGCTGGATCGGTGGAACTGACTTCTTCCTTAGCCTCAGTGATAGGTCTAACATATACTACGAAGACCTGATCCTCTAACTGCTCCTTTTTCACTAATCGCACGAACGCGGGAGCACTTAGACAACAATGTGCCAACGAGTTGTCTACTCCTGACACATGGAACAGACGGGCTGTCTTAACCTCACCTGACGGACTAGGGAGCCTACACTCGTGCTCTCTCAGATGGAGTGTGGTGCCTGCTGCCTCCCCCAGTCCATACCTAGGACTATATCAAACGGGAGGTTATCCTATACGAGGAGAGTCAGGGAATGGAAAACTCTCTCTACCTTCCCATCTTTCTCTTGGCGAAAATACGCCTGGACTCCCTCTACGTAGTCCTCAACTCGCATTGTACTGTTGTCTGCGAGGATGTTGACTATGGGGTCATTCAATTTCTGGACTTGTAATCCTAGCCTTAGCTTTTTCAGCGCTCTGCGGCTAATGTAACTGCAGGTGGCCCCTGAATCTATAAGGGCCCCTACTCTACTCATGAACACCTCTACATCTACTAGTACTAGCTGCCCTTTGCCATCTTTCTTCATCTTGGCCCAGACAGGCATCCTCTCCTTCAATTCTTCTGCCACGCCTGTGAGGGACATGCCTAGAGAGACGCTAACACAAGCAGTCTTTGGACAGCTAACTGGGCACGGGCCTGCAACCTCTGCCGAAGGCGCATGTGGTGTGGGAGTTTCCTCTGTGCGCGCGCTCGCTTCCCCACATGGCCTAAGAGTAGGGGCAGTTGCGACCCCTACCGGCGGCTGCCTTTTGACTCCTGGGCAGCCCACCAGGCCTGTCTATACTTAGGGCAATAATTTATGATATGGGCAGGGTCACCGCAGTAAATGCACTGCCCCTGCTCCATCTGCTGCTGCCACACTTTCTGGTCCAGGCTCAGGTCTTCCCAAGGCCGGCCTTGTGGCCAACCTGGGTGCCATCCTCCTCTCCTCTGAGGTGATCCTCCACCTCGTCGCTGTGGGGACCGACTAGGACCTTGACGATTTCGCGGGGGACCTTGACCCCTACCTCCCTCTTGGCGGTCCCTTTGGCCGCCAACCCCCTGAGCGCCTGATCCTCGGCCTCCCATGGCCTGGCCCCTTTGGCCCTGGCCTCCTCTACTTTGCGGCCTCCCTCCAGCCGCGACAGCAGCATAGGACCTCCCCTGTCCCATGCCACTGTCCTCCTCCTCGAGGCCCCACTCAATCTGGCTGTAGGGGACCTCATCAGTACCACCTTCCTCTAATGTAAGGATCATGTGATCCTTGGCCCTGACTTGGCCAGAGATGGTATGGCCTTTCCACTTTTTGCCCTTATCCAAGTCTTTGTGCCAGAAAGTGGAAACTGGCATCGACTTTGCCTCGAACAGCACCACTTCTCTACTGAGCGCATCATACGTCATAGTGGGTTGTTGGGACTTGTCAAAGAAGTGCCCTCGTAAGGGCTCTGGCATGGCACGATAGAAAAGTTGGACCAGTTGGGACTGAGTCACCCCATGGTCCGGGACGGCCACCAGGTCGTCCATAACGGCTTTGAGTGCCCTGGCCCTCCTCCACTGCCGTGAGTGGATGGTTTGGAGTTTGTCAGAGGCTCTTACGCCCTTGCGAAGTTCAGCAAACCGCTCCCTAAGGAGCTTGAAGAATTGAGGGAGGGGAGTGACTTTGGAATAAGTGACCATGTTGTTTTCGCAACCGGCCGTGCACGCGACGGACCTAGCGAAACTAGCCGCTTCCTCCTTGAGGGCTTGGAAGGCTACAAGGACCTGATCGTCCTGTGCGATATGCTGTAAGTAAACATTACTGTTTACGCAAGACTCCCAGTTATCGAAATTCTCCTTAGGTTTCCCGCCGTACGCGTCTGGGAACTTAAGTTTAACTGGGTCCTTGCGAGGTCTGGCCTCGCTCTCAACGGTGGCTACTGCTTTGGCGCCCTCAATGGCGCCTTCACAAAACTTCCCCACGTTATCTTTCAACCGCTTGACTTCGACCCCAACGTGGGTAACCATGTCGAGCGCAAACTCACGAAACCTTGACCGCATGGCATTCAGGGCCACATTGTGACCTCAGTTGCCTTGGCGTTCCTCCAGCCAGGCCTCACTCAATACCTCCTGGTACCCGAGCATCTTGTCCATTTTGGCAAACATCTGCCTGGGCCCGCACTTCTTGCCTACAAGCTCTCACCTTCTCCACCTCTGTGGTCAACTGATTAACCTCCTCCCTCCTTCTCTTCTTCTCCCTGTTCATTCTCAACTTCCACTCCAACTTCTTCTCCTCCTCTGTCTCCTGCCGTTCCAGGGGTTCCTCAATCGTTGCTAGTGCCCTGGCAAACGCCTCCTTCTCCTCCTGTGGCACATACAACTGTGCCTCCTCATCTTCCCCCAATGATAAATTGGCTATCCACTCGCTGATCTTCTTTTGCATCTCTGCATCCTCATTCGTCGTGCCACTACTCTCCCCTTTTGCTTCCCTGTGTCTTCTCTCTTCTGCTTCCTCTGCTGCTGCTTCTTCCTCATCAACCTTTTTCTTCTCCTCCATCTCCTCCTCCAATTTCTTCATTCTCGCCGCCTGCTCCTCTGCGATTGCTTTCAATTTCGCTTGCTTCAGGAGCTCCTTCCTCTCTCTATTCTCTTTCACTAAGGTGACCATCTGCTCTTGTTGGGCCTGGGTATAGGGGCTAGTGCTCTTCCCACTACGGGTGTCAACCATGGTGATTAGTGCACAACCGGGTTAACGGTTCCAGACCTCACCACTTAGACTCTAACCCCTGACTGACAAACCGACTGACTCACTCTAAAGACTCACAGAATCCGGACAAGGATCCTGTCGACTAGGGTCTCTATCCTAGACCTACTCTAAGGTTGTCACTACTAGACCTGCTGCTGATCAGGAGGCATTTAAGGAGATCCCCCGTAACTCCTCAGGAATTCTTTAGCGTCGCAAACAGGACGACGCGATCAGCAGGTCTCTCAACACTACTGCCTGTTGTGCAGCCCACAACTCAGCTTTTCGGGCCTACCGTGCCACACCGAGCAGCCGCCGGTCTGTACCGGTCCTTGGGAGGGTTCGTGTCCTCCGGGACAGTCGAGTCGTCAGACACAGTCTTTAGCCCTACTTAGTCTGGCAGGGGTTTGGTCAACGAGGTCCTATCTTTCATCCACAGAGTTCCTACACCTAGACAAAAGAGACTCAATGCAGAAAGAAGAGACAAACAGACTTGACTTCACCAAGTACCACAGGGTGTGTGCACATCCATAGGGCGAGGAGTAGGCTTAAGGCTTGGCGAGATTATACCGGCTCCAGCTTGGTCAAAATCGTGGTAAACGGTCTTGGTCAACGCCTTGGTCAACGCTCGGTCAACGCTCGGTCAACGCTGCATCAACCCCCCGTCAACCCTGGTCAACGCTGGTCAGCACCTCCAGTCAACTCCCGGTCAACTCTCCTGTCCGCTATGGTTGCCGGCTTCTCCTTCCTCACCACCCTTCTCCTTCCTTTCTCCTTCCTTGCCCCCTTTCTCTTCACCCCGGCTGTCTTCTCTCTCTCTTTTTTTTTTTTTTTTTTATC